AAATAGAGAATATTGAATTGAATTTTGAATTGGATACAAATATAAGCGTAAAAAGAGTGAGTATTGTTTATTTGATGGATAAAAGCCAATTAAAAACCTTAAACTTTGCAATGTGACAATATGTGACTGTTGTGAAGCTTGTTTCTGTTGACCCCTAGTGGCCACCTAACATAATGAATGCAGCTATACGTTTATTTGTTGTGTTGGAGTAATGCCAAAATGCAGCTATATTATTAATTTCTGACAATATGAATCATTAAAAAAAGTCATAGCATATTGAAGTCCAACCTTTTACGAGACACTAACTGTAGGAGCCATGCGACACAACTCCAGAGCATCATTTCTGCGGCGCATAGAACATTGTCTCTGATTGGTTTTGATAGAAACTGGACCAGACTATTTATAATCTGTCCGAGCAGCATTAGACTCTGTCATTACTCTTGTGTGTGGTTTAAGGTGCAACAATGCCCATTTCTGACCACACCCTACAGTGTTTACTCTCCAAATTTCCATCACGAGGCGTGCCTTCATGTATGACAAAAACAAGTTATGTGTTTCACTGTCTGGGTTTTAAGCTCTGGAGCATGAGTGCACGCAAACTCATTGTGGTACTTTAAGCTTTGATTTCATCTGTTAGCCAGTGATATCAGAACTTGGCTGGAAAAGTCTTCATTGTTCTTTCCACTACGTGAGCACTTTCAAACAAATACACTCCAAATGCTCCAAAGTAAAATCCCCCGGGCTTTCAGGAGCGAGGCTGTGTGTGCCGACCTCTTCCTGCCCTTCAGATCCTTCTGCCTTGTCGGGAGTTTTCTCATGTTGATGTTGAGGTGCCTCCAAACTATGTGCTGCCTACTGAAGCCAAACAAGGCGGAGAGGAAATCAAACACAAAGGTCTCCAGAAGTGAAAAATATGCCAACCTCTGGTAAAATAAGAGTGTTCTGGCCAATTGAGCCTGATGAAAGGGTGGAAGGGAAATATATCCATCTAGTTGACATTGAAAAACAATGACATAAGCCATTTGAAGTTCAACATGCTTCAGTGCTTAAAAATGAATGCTTTTGTATTATTATTGTTTTATAATATTATGCTCCAGGTAGTGGTAAATGAATAACAGTGTATATCCAACCCAGTCTCACAAAAAAACGTGTAATGACTACGTTGGTCCACAACGTAGGACGTAGTATTTCTACGAAAAACGCCTCTGAAATTGTAGGATCCCTACGTTTTTTTCACCATTCATTCCAATGGCTGGCGTCTATGTCACGTGATCTTCAAATTTCTCCCTGCAGAAAAAAAAACATGGCCGAACTTCGTTTTATTCTCGGTGGAAAATGCCTATTTTAAAGTTAGTTTGGTCATTAAAATGCGTTTTGATGTCATTTGATGCGAGAAATATGAGTTGTTATTTCAGATTATGTGTGCAGTGGATGTACATGATCTTTAGTTTGCTAGTTATTACGAAGATTACTTCAGGAAATTGTGTCCATACAACGTTTTCATTGTTACCAAGTTGGTTGCTAGGGACGCTGCTATCGATATTATTTCTGTTCTGTTGTGTAACTGTTTAATGGTGTTACATATTTTTCGTATCAAATTACATCAAAACGCATTTTAATGGACAAACTAACCTTAAAATAGGCATTTTCCACCGAGAATAAAACGAAGTTCGGCCATGTTTTTTTTTNTAACACCATTAAACAGTTACACAACATAACAGAAATAATATCGATAGCAGCGTCCCTAGCAACCACCTTGGTAACAATGAAAACGTTGTATAGACACAATTTCCTGAAGTAATCTTCGTAATAACTAGCAAACTAAAGATCATGTGCATCCACTGCACACATACTCTGAAATAACAACTCATATTTCTCGCATCAAATGACATCAAAACGCATTTTAATGGACAAACTAACCTTAAAATAGGCATTTTCCACCGAGAATAAAACGAAGTTCGGCCATGTTTTTTTTTCCTGCAGGGAGAAATGTGAAGATCACGTGACATAGACGCCAGCCATTGGAATGAATGGTGAAGAAAAACGTAGGGATCTTACAATTTCAGAGGCCTTTTTGTAGAAATACTACGTCCCAAGTTGTGGACCAACGTAGTTATTACAAGTTTTTTTATGAGACTGGGTTGGTATATCACCATGTTCTTCAAACTGTGTTCCATCCTTTTTGGAAGTGACTGTTTTTTGCGAGGAAATGTGTGCCCATGGTGAACTTGACAGAAACAACAATTCAGGTCAGCTGGTTTTGTTCCAAGTGTCAATTTCCAAATAACAGGGATGTTGTCATGAGCACGCCACCACACATCTCCTGGATGTGTAGCCACTCAGGAAAACCAAATTCCAATGAGCTCACACTTCCTGACAAGCAAACTGTGTGTGACAGTCCATAGAGGCTCTTATTTACCTTTAACGAGAACCTGAAGGAACCAACTAGCATGTTCGTCTCATGTAAACACGAACCTGACTGACACACCAGCAGCAGGCAGATAGTTGTGTTTGATGATGGCGTGTCAGAGACATATCAGCATTGTTGTACATGTTGACAGATTCCGTTTTAAAGGGGCCCTATTATGCTTTTGGAGTTTCTCTTTTCCTGTAGTGTGGTTTGTGTGCATGTAAATGGTCTCTACAGAATAAAAACAAAAGTTTCTCTACCTGACAGACATCCCTCCATTTGACTCCTTCCAGAACATAGTTATATCACTTTGTAACAGTCGTGATTCTATTGGCTAGCACTCCAATACATTGTGCATACGTGATAAACTAAAGGGCGGGACATCTCTAGGCGGTTGACCAATCACAACAGAGCTAACTAATCCAAGGCAAATGTTTCATGTTACTTAATAGCCAAATGTTATCTAGTTTTTACAGTGAGTATTATATCAGTGTCAGATGGATTACAGTCACTACTGCCTAATGGAAGTTGCAGTAAGTGCTGCAAAAAAAGATTTCCCCCCATATTAGCCAAAATTCTGTCTCATGCATCTATACACAAATAGGCTTAATGCTAGTGCATGAAACTAAATAAAGTGTCCGACAGAATGCAGACCGATTTTGATCAGCGTTCGAGAGTGCAGATTGATTTAAATAAAAACTTTTTTTTAAATGAGTTTGCCAAAGTTGTTAAACCAAGTCTTTAATCTCATAATCAACCCCCTCCCAGCTAAATCAACTAAAGACTCAGGTGGCATGTATTTAAAGAGGTCAAATCAGAACATTTTTCATTCACTCTCCTTAATTACTGCCAGCAAAATAATAACTGGCAGAGCAGCTCCTCTCCTCCTCTCTCTACTCGATGTATCAGCAGAGTGATGCCTTTATGTACAGGCAGAAATATGGTAACTATGAATGACTGATATCAACAACCTCTAAAATAACATATGACAGGTGGGAGTCTGCACTGATGCAGGATGTGAATTTCCATTTAATGTGATTATGTGTTTCAATGATATGAAACATCTCAAGCCTGCACTTAGATGGAGACATGCTTATAATAATCCAGTGTGGATGCAAAAGAAGACCGAATTTATATGATATCAATAACATTTTGAGATGCAGTTGTACTAAGAGAACCATGTGAAAAGTGACCGAATTAAAACCTCTTAAATATGCAAATTGTGTCAACAAAAAAACATACCTACAAATAAAAATACAATAATATATGAGACAAAATTGAAGTCAACAAAAGTTCAGCATATACAAATTGAAAGTTTTAAAATTGGTTGTATTGTGCAGAAAAATTTTAATTGGTAGTATTAAAGTGTATACAATTGTTCCCAGTATGGAGTATTTGTAGTTTACGGGGATATAGTCGTAACAGAACTCATGCCAATGATATTTCACATTATAATATATTTAGTTTAGTTGACACTCATCCAAAGCGACTCTTGACCCTTTCTTTGAGCTAATAATCTGAATCTGTAAAGTAACTAAGGCTGTAAGATAAATGATAGCTTCCAAAAAAGTATAAGGAAGCATATCATGATACTCAGAAAGTACCTACACATATTACTTAAAGGTCACCTATTATGCAAAATCAAAATGTTCATGTCTTGTATACATCAACATGTGTCCCCTCTGTGTGAAGAGATTCTAAAAGTTTCAGGAACAAAGATTCTCTCTCTTTTTGTCCTGATCCATTTATATAAAAACCTGTCTGAAAAGGAGCTGATCAGATTTTGGCCACTTTATGATGTAATAACGATGTTTTGGCTTGTGTAACCATTAGCCAATCAGCAACCAAGGTAACCCCCCCCCACCTTATCACCTGAATCTCCTCCTAGAGCAACATTGTGTTCTTTTTAACCAAATATCTCTCAGAG